GCAGTGGATAAAAAAAGAGGGACAAATGCATAAAACGTGATTTTGCGTGTCTCTCTAGGTATTCCATATCGTGTTGTTATAATACCCATGAAGAAGCTGAGCATCGCCATGGCAACAGTTGATCCTTGGGTGTGTGTGTCAGGAGAGTTGGGCGATTCTGGAGTTAGACAGATCCCAAAGAATACACAAGAAATTTTTTTCCAGGTTGGTATTCATCCCTCTGTTGTAACATCACAGCCGATGGAGACACAAACACAGAGAGCTACTCTTACTGTGATTTGTGGTTTTGATTTCAGTGCAAGAACCTGGGCAGGCTGAGCACTCTGCAGCTGGGACAGGAGAACTCGGGCCTGCTGGCCAAGTGTCTCATTGACTGTGTGATGGTGTACAATGAGATTACAGGGCACACCTACAAGTAAGATTCGTCCTCTGATATTCTTCGGTCGTTGAAAGCTGCGTTTGACCTCGCACAGCATTTGATACTATGTTTATGAACATCAGCTCACAGGCTGATAGTGTGTTAAAAATATAATAAAGGCTAGATGATCCAGCTGTGCAAAATCTGATGTCTGAAATCTCTAAACACTTTAACCCAAAGGTTGCTTAGAAAAGCTGATGCAGAAAGTATGTAGCTGTTTTATGCAGAGGAAAAAGACTCTGTGAATTTGAATTTTCAAACCACTTTGATAGCTGAAGTTACATTATCTATAATATGTTGTTGGGTTTTTTTTTTCGTTTTGACCCTAATGACTGCCTCAAGTTAAAACACAAAACCGTAGCAGATAATAGAAGGCTCTCCCTTCAGCCAAATCCTTCATTTTATTTTTTTTTTATGTAGTCTTTATTCGTTTTTAAAATCTTGAATACAATGTAACGCTCCGTCTTTGTTTCTTGGAAGGTTCCCTTGCGGCCGATGGCTTGGTAAAGGCGTGGGGGACGGCAGCTTGGAAAGAGTCCTCATTGGTCAGCTGGTGTCACCTGGTGCGGAGGAGGATGCTGGAAGGTTGACAGGGACACCTCCTCCGGAGCTGGCCTCTCCTTCTCAGAGTGTGCGGACAGTCCTCGGATCACTTGGCAGCCGTAGCAGTACGTCCTGACAAAGAACACATTCTTTAGCACAATAGTTGACCTACTTGTTGAACGAGCAGATGATTCTGCTCCTGGATCACCTTTCTGTTCCCCTCTTAGTTTCATTATTCATCCTTGTGTTCCTGTTGCTAACTGCACTTCATTCATCTTCTCAGGGATGCTGTTTGTTGAAGTACAAGAGGACATGAGGGAGGCGGTAAATAACCTTGTGAAGCATTTCCACAAACCTGAACAAGAGGTGTGTGTATGCGTGTGTGAGACAAGTGCTATATTCGTTTTACTTGCCGGCTCACTAAGCTGAAAGGGTGACAAAATAGTTAATGCAGACAGGAGAATATTTGCAGCAACTGTCAGCCTCCCGCTGTGTTATTTTTATCTATAACATGGTTCATTACCCCAGCCTCTCCAGCGCGGGCCTCATTTGTTTCTCTTGTGTATCAGGCTAGCCTTTCTCATCTCCGTTAAGAGCACAGCAGAGACCTGATGCATCACTTGAGTTTGGCTATAAAAGGCTTCTAATTCATTTTAATAACGTCTTTAGTACACAAGCTTTAATGTACATGCATACGTTCTGTTTACTTTAACAAATATGAGACTGTTATAAACAGTAACATGAGCTTTTGTTTGAAGTAGGTCTATTAACTCTCTGCTCCCATTCCTATCACCCCAGAGGGGAAACCTGACAGTCTTGCTATGTGGTGAAGGAGGTCTGGTGCTTTGCTTGGAGAAGTTCCTCCTCCATGGTCTCAAATCCAACCGACTTTTTCAGAGGAATGTGTTCGTTTGGGACTTTGTGGGTAAGTGTAAATCAAAGAGGTGACGTCTATTTCCTGTCTTGATCTAGTGGGGAGTTAATCTGCATCTCAAGTTGCAAACTAAACTAAAAAGGGCCACCAATGCTTTCCCACAGAAAAGGCCGTGGCTTCCATGGAGACTGCTGATCAGATGGGTGACCTGCACGGATCAACACTGACAAAGGGCCCGCCCTGCGACCTGCTGTGCCACTACGTCAGTGCCATCAACGCCTCTCCTAGAAATATTGGAAAAGAGGGCAAATTCCAGCTGTTTGTCTGTCTGGGAATTAGGTGAGCAGATTTTGAAACTCCCTTTGAAATCTGCATTGATGTTGTAAGAAAACATTTTGCAAGACACCCTCGTTCCTCAGGTGGAAGATGTTGTTAAAGCAATCACAGGCAGGAAGGTTATTTTCTTTTCTATTCTTTTATATAAAGCAGAATAATTTAAGTGGTCGTCGTCTTCTTCTTCTGCTTTTGGCCAGATCATCTGTATCCATCTCACCCTCTCCCTAGCATCCTCCTCTGTCACACCAACCATCTGCATGTCCTCCTTCACTACATACATGAATCTTCTCTGTGGTCTTCCTCTTTTTTTTTTCTTCCCTGGCATCTCCAAATTTATTGTCCTTTCTTCCACATATCCACTGTCCCTCCTGTGGACATGTCTAAATCATCTGGCCTCTTAACTTTGTCTTCAAACTGCTTAAACTGAGCTGTCCTTCAGATGCACTCATTTTTAATCTTGTCTGTCTGAGTCACTCCCATTGAAGATCTTAGTATCTTCAGCTCCACCTCCATTTGTTTCCCGTTTGTGCTACCACCTTCAAACCATACATCATAGCAGGTTGCAATGATAACAGTATAGTAGCTCAAGAATATTATTAAAGTTTAAGAATCATAGTTGACGCCCTGAATAAAATTGACCTTGCAGTGCTTGAAAGTTTCATCACGTTCTACAAACTTTATTTATGACCCCGTTATTGACCATCGGTGTTCTCTTCTTGGCAGGGACCGGCTTCTCTCTCTGTGGCTCCCCCTGCTGGCAGACTGTCCCCTCACAGCTCGGACATACGAGGACGGTGCTCTGCTGCGGGACCGTGCTGCTGTACACTCCCTCTCTCGCATGCTGCACACACTAAATGATTTCGCCATCACTCTGGAGACAGCACTGGTTAAAGGAGTTGACCTCTGACCTCTGAGTTTAGCAGCTACGCTGACAGATTCAGATATTCATCTTCCCAAGAGTGGGGAAGGGAGGTACATTCGGACATTTGGCGAAATGTGACTCTGTCATATCATCACGATCAGCAAAATGGACAGTGAGCTAGACGAAACCGCTGGCAACTCAAGCACCAAACATATTGCCTTGTTCACTGATGTACATGTCTTATATACTCTGATTGCTTCAGGAAATAGTCCTGTGCTTGTTTACACTGTGAAGTTCTGTTTCCTCGAGGAGAACTGGAGGGTCATTAATAAACTCACATCTACAGTCAATATTTTCCCTGCTCACGTCATTTATACTGTACCTAACACTAGGATAACCATACCTGTCCTACTGCTGTGTTGTTTGCACTTGAATTTTAAACTAAGCACATGCATGGCCAGAATATGTTTGTTTTTTTTGTTTTTTATGTCTTTTGGTGTTGTATTCTCAAACGTCAGTTCTCAGGCCTTATTGTTATTACTATTATTACCATAATTATTTTTGATTTCATTTGATATTTTAGCAAATATAGTCAAAACAAATTATTCTACCCCTCTATAATGTTAAATTTATATATATATATAGATATATTATGCTATTATTATACTGCGTAATGTCTGGCCTGTTTCTCATTGTTTATTTCAGTTTGGGGTCACATGTGACGCAGAGTTGTGCTCACGAAATCCTCAGTTGGTAAAACACTGGAACCAAACTGGTGTCCTAGTTGTGTCAGTTTAAATAGTCCTTGTCATTTTGTCAGAAAGCCCCCCCCCCCCTTCACTTCTCTCTGATTGTAAATATTTTGCTTCATCAGATCTTTGATAGGATTGTTTCATCCCTCCATCCCATGTTCCTATTTGTTGTTGGTGTACTGAATTTGTGACATATTTTTTTCCTCTACAAAGGCATCTTGTTTGTGTCTGCGTAACAACAATGGATCCCACTCCAGACACACTCTCTCGTGTGGACAGTAGTCATGCTGTTTTGTTTTTAAGCTCAATTGTCTGCAAAAAAAGGGAGAGAGGGAGAGAGGGGAAAAAAATCAGACAATGAATAGAGTACATGTTCTCAAAACCGCTAGGTATTATGTTGATGTTGCATCCAATTAAACAGTTGAGGAATTATGAAAAATGCTGTCTCCTGCACTATCCCGCAAGCACTATGTAACCTATGATGACCAAGCCTCTTTTCTCCTTTAAATACAGATTAGAGAAAGCAATAAATAATGAACTGTTATTTATGAAGTGTGTGGTCAAGATTAAAGTTAAAATTGAAATAAGTGCCATTTGTTGATGTTTTTTGTGACGCTTATCTGAAATATCTGATGAGACTCTTGGATTAAAATGATTGCCAGCTATTAAAAGGTTGACTTTACTACTATTACACTGATGCTGATGAAGAATCTTGCTCTTATAAACTTGATAAATGTAAAAACAAAAATACAACTGTGATTTTTTTTTTTTATTTTTTATTTTTTTAAATACTCAAGGCGCTAATATATATATATATTTTTTAATTTCTGCATTGCTGTTAGCCTTAAACTGATCACTGGATGGAGACTTACGTTCACCCACCTTTTATTTACTACTAATCTGATCCGTTCAAATCAACAAAAAGCCCCGTTGCCGTCCAAGACGCCAAGCCCCCTGAAAAACCGTAGGCCTCCAGACGAGCCATCTGGCGTCCTGTAGTAAAACAACAGGCGCCGCCCCCTTGCTTACATTCTCCAATGTGCCATAGCAACCGGGGCCGAGCCCCCTGTTCCCGCGCAATGTTCCCATCCTTATAAGGCCAGTAGAATGCAGACGCACGCATACGTCATACGTCGTTTATGTAAATAGTTTGATTGAAGAAAAAGAAAAAAAAAAGCCCTCGTCTCTACTCTGAAATGGAGGTGTGGATACCACGCATGCGCACAATAGTCCACAACTCTAGTCCCGTCCACAAGCGCAGACATCAACAAGAGAGCGGGTTACCGATGAGGGTAGATGTTCATAAGTCACAGCGTAACGACGCGGTATTCGGACTGTTATTACTTTGGATCAGCTCCACACAACTCGCAGAAAGGTAACGATTGTCTGTGTTCGTCTGGCCTCGTCTTTAAAAAGCCTTTTAAAAGTGTTCGCCGCGCTTTTCAGGGCCGTAATTCAGAAACAAGCTTCGAGATGTCTCACGAACAATTGCTCTTTTTTTTATTTTTAAGGCCTGCTGCGCGGACCCGACTTGGTGGTCAGCGGTATTTGTAGGTCACCTTAGAAACAACGAAACTAACCGGGCAAAGTGGGAGGAAAGCGGGAAAAGCGCAAATGTGCGTTTAAAATGCGTTTGAAGGGGCTTTCACGTGCGGGCACGAAGAGGAGCAGGGGGGGGATGGCTGCTGGTGCTCGTGCTCCTGCTGTTATTATTATGGGTTGGCTCGGCGCATTTCGGCGACAATTTATCGGTAATGTAAACGTGGTAAAGTGGGTTAATGTGAGCGTCTGGGCTGCAAATGTGTTCTTGTACAGAAGAAGACAAGCGTGGATGCAGTGTGCCGCACATTTTCTGTCTGCTAGACAAGCCAAGTTGAACCTCTCACGCCCACCCGGAGCGGAGATGCGTCTCAGCACGCGGCCACCGCTGTCAACAAAACCGCTCCCGCGAGCGCAAAGTAATCCCCAACCAAAGCAGGAAAGCCAAGCTGGATAAAAAATGTGGTTTGTGGGAGAAACCGGAGAGAAAAGCGACTTTCCGAGAGCCGCCGCTTTGAACTTGCCGCACATGTAGCCGATTGTGGATTGTTGCAGTGACGCGGCTCTGGAATAACAAAGAGTAAAGATCAAATTACACATTTATTTCAGAGCAGCTCCCCTTTAACACCAAGCCCGCCGATTTTATTTGTTATTTTTTGTGCTCTCGAAACACATTAGTCCGAGTTTATCCCTTAGCATAAAGTTGAGGTATAAACTCGGCATCGTGGAAGCGGAGGATGGTCATCATAAAATGGGTGCGCATGAAGCAGGTCGTGTGGCATGCCATGCTTCCTCGCTGGCGGAGTGGGCGGTGAAAATTGGCGACTTGCACTTTTCTCTCGATGAAAAAGAGGACATTGCTCGGTGTCTTCTTTTATTCTGAAAGGCGAGGGTGTTATTCGTGCGAGTTCGGCAGCTTTTGGTGGTTTTTCTTTCTTTTTAGCGTTTGTTTTAAATGTTGCAGTTTTTGCGGAAAATCGCATCACACCCCCTTCGCCACATTGCCTCCGCCTTTGAAGTGTGTTGCCATGTTGAGTTGCGTCACGTACTGTATTTTGCTGCAGAGATCGTCTGTAATTTACAGATGAGGCACGCGAAGGGTAGAAACAAATTAGTTTCTACCCTTTATTATTTAGTTTTATTATTTAAATTGCTTGGTTACATTTTCTTTTTTGAATGAATGCTGCTTTCTTAGCTTTCGAAGTGCAAGTTAGGTGCACGTCTTGTTTAAAAGGACTTTAGTATAGAAAAACAATGTTTGCACTTCACTACAAATAAAACTGCGCAACAGTAAAGTGCTATTGAATCTCTTCTGTTGTTATATAGGAACTATACCACGTGAAATCGTTTATAAATTAAGGTATAGCCCATTTTTTTCCCACAGTTAATATATTAGCTGTGTCACAGGTTAGAATAAGTGCCAGAGTTGGTATTCCTTTCTCAATGCAACTTACTTCATGTCGGCTTGTGTTGCTTTTTAAACTGACCTCTCCACAGAAATGCCCAATATCTAGTATCTGATTTAATCATGCAGAGTGAGAGTTCTTCGCCATTTTCCTGCTCTTTTTTACTCTCTATGGCACCGCACTGTCAGAAGACCCCGAGGACTGATGGCAAGAGGAAAAAAAAAGCCCAGTCTGGGGGGCGCGGCTCACAGTTTTTGCCGCAGTTCAGGTCTACATGTGCCGTAGAGATTAAATTTTGCCTAGCAACATAAATCATAATTCCTGTGCACGCTTATTACATTTCGAGTAATTTCCCCCGGACGCAGTGATGTATAATATTTTACTGGCATTTCTCTAGTAACGCGGTACACATTTTGCAGTTTGTCTTTCGACCTCGTGACGAATAACGCATCTTGTGCGGCCCGGAGGCTCGCACTGATTGCGTGCCTAAATCTTATTTTGGGTTTCCAAAACGAAGCGTGAATCCCGTGAGCGCAGCATGGTGACATTATCTGTCTGACACGCTGTCTGACTGTTGACCTACTTCCCCCACTCTGTCTCTCCTTCCATGTGGGTCAAAGCGGAGAGATGCTCCAGCAAAACTGCTTTCCGTGAACATTGTTGGCGATTAAACACATTTTTGTCCGCTCACTGCAGACTTAACTGAAATTTGTGCTTCACCTCTGACCTGCACTGCAAATGTAGGGGTGAAGGGAGTATTCTCCTCCACCCCCACCTCCTCCTGCTGCTGCAGCAGTAAACACTCGGTGCACACTGATCATATGTAAACATTTAACCCCCCTTTTTTCTCCCCTGAATGCAGATGTTTGGCTTTCACAAGCCTAAAATGTACAGGAGTTTGGACGGCTGCTGCATCTGCCGTGCAAAGTCGTCAAGCTCTCGTTTCACAGACAGCAAGCGCTATGAGAAAGACTTCAGGAGTTGCTTTGGGTAAGAGATACACCTGAGCATGTGCGGGGTCTGCAGGCAAACCATACCTGTCATGGTTTTTAGGCTGTGCACGTCATATTGATGCTAAAGATTTTCCATTTTTTCCTCCTCATCACAAACTGAAATTGTCTTCCAGACTGAGCGAAAGCCGGTCTGGAGAAATCTGTAATGCCTGCGTGCTCCTTGTGAAACGGTGGAAAAAACTCCCTGTGGGAACCAAGAAGAACTGGAACCATGTGAGTTTCAGTGCTGACAGCATGACCGGCCTATCACTTTATGGTGATGATAAAACCCAAATTATACAAATTCGTCCGGTTTCCTGTCCCTCATCCAGGTTGTTGATGCCAGAGGAGGTCCCAGCTTAAAGTTAACTTCCAGGCCCAAGAAAATAAAGTCCATCTCCAAGAAAGCACGGCCAAGCCAGATCAACAGGCTTCAGAAAGAGCTGAAAAGACACAGTAAGTAATTATGATGTATATTTGAGGAAAATGGTAAAGTCATGACAAAATAATGGCTAAAAAAAGGTAGGTTTGGAAAGGTGTTTATTTCTGTGGGATCGGGACATTAAAAATACACCAGCACACATCTGTTTGTACCACAACGTTTCAGTTTTAATTTACCTTTCCTTTCCAGGCGTACTGGGTTAATGGATTGTAGTAGCACTCCTGTTACTTCATTCAGGTTTTTTCAGGTTTTAAAAAAAATATACATATATATATATTATTTGTCCTATTCTGTCCTCTAGACTCAGATGCCCACAGCACCACCTCCAGTGCCTCCCCTGCTCAGTCTCCCAGCTACAGCAACCTGTCAGACGAGGGGTCCGACACAGAGCTCAGCCCAGGATCCAGCCGCTCCCCCGTTTTCTCATTTCTGGACCTAACATACTGGAAGAGGTAAGGCGGACAGTGAAGCACTTCTTTAATCTACAGGCGTAATTTTTAGAATAATCTACTACAAGTGGTTTAACTGTATATAAACCTTCAAGCCTTCGCCTGCTTTACATATACAGGTGAAACTCCCACCGATGCCCCACCCTGCTGGATTACAGTGACATTAAAGGGATTTCTTTATGTATTTAGCTTAATATTACTAACTGTTACTTGCTTATTACTGTATGTAAATAATTTTTGTTTGTTCGTTTTGGGTCATTAACTAATAGTTGCATTTATTTTTAGTGACAATTTTCCAGGTTTGTTATAAATGTATTTAGGATTTGAGTTTACTTTTACCTTCCAGACAATCTGTAATGTTTTATTGGCAAAGTTTGTGGAGATTTTGAAACTTGCTTGAGACCAGTAATCTGTCAAAGCATGAAAATATATTTTACAAAAAAAACCTAAAATGTTGCATTTTTAAAATAGATTTAATAACTGACTTTTGATCTTTGACTTGTTTTTCAATACATTTTTAAAAATTTCGTTTTTCTTAGAGCATTTTTTGTGGTGCCTGATGTTTTATATATTAAGCCTAATGCACATCTTTTTGTTTGTCAGACAGAGAAACAACAGGAAAATGCATTCATTTCTGTCAAATACTCAATACTACCTTTAACACATGAAGTGCCATGCTAATCCAGGATAACCCAGATTCAACGCTGAATGCATTTTAATGCAATTAAATAACAGTAAACACACAGAGCCATAATGCTTTCTGTCTCATTTCATGCTCTGTGCAGGCAAAAGGTGTGCTGTGGAATAATCTACAAGGGGCGCTTTGGGGAGGTGCTCATCGACCCCCACCTGTTCAAACCGTGCTGCCGCAACAAACGACAACAACAACAACAACAGCAGCAGAAGCAACAACAGCAGCAGGAGGAGGAGGAAGAGGACGAGGAGGACGAGGAAGAAGAGGTGGAGGCAGAGGAAGGTCGGGTGTGTGTGGAAAAATCCCAGATGGGAGAGGAAGTGAAGGAGATGGCAACTTGTGGTGAAAGTGCAGAGTCTGCTCAGCTGCATGTTGCATCGCCACCAGTCAGGAGTGAGGTGGTGGGGGAGGAAGGATGGTAAAGTCACCCCCCCACACACACACACATCTCTGAAGAAATCTTGAGGTGCTGTTTTTTCCTCTCAAGCACTTATAGAAAAAAGTGGCCTCAGATTGCCTTCAGTTACAAAGCAGCTGAAAAATCCTTTCTCCATAATGAGGATTGTTGATTGCATTTAAATGATAACTTATGGACTGTTGTGTTTCTCCGTTGTCTGTCTTTACTTTGTATTTAATATTTTTGCCATCCCGACGATGGACCATCATACTCGGTGTAATTGATCTACTTTGAAATGCTGGAGCTCCACTTTGCTGGTACATTTTTATCAGATTTTATTCCAAAACGCAATACATCCACTTATTTACAGAAAAAAAGGTGCTACTTAAAGCTCACAAACACAGCTGAACCCATCTCAGTGAAGATGTTTTATAAGCATATATGTTAAGATGACTAATATAATGGGGTTAATTAATTTTGGTTTCTTTGTTCAGAGTTGATATCTGAGTTTGTTTGGGGTTTTTTTTTTTAAATGGTGGATATCTCCCGTTTTGGAATGAATGACACTGTACACTGATGGAGCACAGACCTGTACAGTAACCCTCTGTTTTTCTGTCTGCTCACGACAACATCCCCTCCTAACAAAGAGTTTGTGGTTTTTAGACTGGATTAGCGTTTCTGTGTGTAAATACGTATGGGTCCCATTTGAATAAGGCCTATTCACAGCTTCAACAGCAAATACACCAGCCTTAATTATGTGTTACAGACAGCGCTAGTGTTAAATCTGCATTGGTATTAAGGAACAAAAAGGGACAGTACAAATATTTATTGTGGCCTCAGCAACACACACAGTGCATTTTTGCATGAATGGCAAGCCCACTCATCCAAAAGACCGACTGATCTGATGTATGAGTATTCTAAAAATTGCATGGCCTTATAAAAAATTGTAAATCTTACTTTTATTTTTTTGGATCCATTTTTCTGAAGTTTTAACTTATTTTTATATGTAAAAAAAAAATACAAATAAAAGTGTCTTTGCATAATAATACCACACAATACAACAGCAAAACACAAAAATCGGTCTATCAGTCATTTTAGCAATATCAATATCAGTGATTTCCATCATTCCCAGGTCAGTATACGGTAAAAGACTTTATACAAGCTAAAATTCTATGCCATTGCCTCTTATATACCACAAATGTGTTGTGATATATTGCCTAATATTACTTTATTTATCAAATGAAAGCCAAAGCACATTGAAATTCACCCAATGTCGAATCAATGCAGGTTTTCTATGGACACTTGTGCTTGTCCGAGGTCATTTATATGTATGTTTTAAAAATAACACTAATATGAAATTTCATACATGTGATGTTGTAGTCAGGAGCAGCGGGTGTGTTATGTACATAAGGGGTTGGATGAGTCATATGACTCTTTATATAGGTTTCATTATTTATTTATTTCATATTTATTTGTATCCTTACTTAGAGAAGTGAATTCTTTTCATCTTTAGCTTACTCATAGTACGGTTTTATTCATCAGAAGTCGAATGTTATTCTCACGCAGGCTTTGGTTAACATTGCATTCAATTAATGGTTGTCAATATTTGTGAAATGTTGTTAAATATTTATTTGCTCATCGGTTGAGTTGCGTGCAACCTAACTTATTCTGTATCATCACTTTGGATTTTTATCATGTAGACTGAAACAGCTGATAGATTGCAACCAAACTGTACTTCTCCCTTTTTACCTTGTAGCTTAAAAATGTCACAGAATAGTAGGATACAATAGTAGGATACATAACTCTAGATTTGCATGTATTGTTGCTATGCATTTACTTAACTTACAAGTTAGACAAAATGGTTTTGTATTTTTTATACATCATGTACTTTTTTTTTTTACTTTTCCCTTAATAAAAAGTAATTTTGTGAGCTTTCTGGATGTATGGAGTGACTGAATTTATTGGTGTAAGACGGAAAGGGAGAGAAAGAGGGACGTTATCTTCTAAATATGGGAGTGCATGTCATAATTACATTATACATATACACCTGTCTAACTGAGGCAAATCTCTAATCAGCAAGCCAGATTGCAAATGTAGCACATTTCCCACCATGTTACGTATCAGTGTGAACATTTCAGCTGATCTGCTGGGTTTTTACCGCACAAACATCTCTAGGGTTTACAGATAATGATCTTAAAAAGAGAATAGCCAGTGAGTGAAAATGTCAGACTGCCTTGAGCTGATAGGAAGCAACAGTGACTCAAATAACCACTCATCGTTACTATTAAAGTATGCAGTAGAGCATCTCTGAGTGCATAACATGTTGACCACCAAAGCAGATGGGCCACAGCAGCAGAAGACCTCAACGTGTGCCACTCCTGTCAGCTAAGAACAGCCTATTTGCAGAGGCTCACCAAAACTTGATAGTAGAAAGTTTGAAAAAAATGTTGCTCTAGTTTTGCTGCAGTGGTAATGGTGGAGAATGGTAAGGTCAGAATTTGGTATAAACAGCATGAACCCATTCTGCCTTGTATGAAAGATTCAGGCTGCTGGTGTTGTGGTGACTATTTCCTTAACACACTTTGAGCCCCTTAGCACCAATTGAGTGCTGTTTAAATACCACAGCCGTCACAGGTATTGCTGCCAAACCTGTCCATTGCTTTATGACCACAGTGTACACATCTAATGGCTGATTTCCACAGGATATGTCACAAAACCAAGTCACAAAATTCAAATGATCTTTGACTGGTTTCTTGAGTATGACAAAGAGTTCATTGTACTCAAATGACCTCCACATGCATCAGATCACGATCTAGTAAATCTTTGGGATGTGGTAGAACAGGAGATTCACATCATGGATCTGCAGCTGGCAAATCTGCAGAAATTGTGTGATGCCATAATGTCAATCTGAACCAAAATATCTCAGAACTGATTGGAGCACCTTGCTGAATCTATGCCACAAAGAAGCAGTTCTGAAGCAAAAGCAGTTCTATTACACTATTACACTATTTTTTTTTAAGAGAGAGAAACATAGCAGTTCAAATGTACATGAGGCTAATTATGTTGCTGCTCTTCAAGTTCACTGTAAGGCTTAAACAGAAAAGGTCATATACACTCGAAATATATTCCATGCATGCATTCGTTTTTCCTCGCATAGTTGTGCTGCAGCCTATCCTAACTGTCACCGGGCGAGAGGCGGGATATATCCCGGACAGGTCTCAAAATATGTCGTGTATTTCATTGTCACTGAAGCTTCCGACCATGACTTGCAGAACTTTCTCTTCTGCAGCGACCAAAACAAAACACTGTCAGAAAGTACCTTAAATAAAGAACAGCAGCTCAATAAAATAACATTATAATGACAAAAGAAGACATTTCACTAAAGTCAAGAATGATCTCAGTTAAACAGAAGAAATTGTCTGGAATCATATTAGCTCAGTAGGGAAAAAACAAATAAAATTGCGGAAGAATGGCGCGTAAAAACGAAATAAAACACAATGACGTGGCTCAGTAGAATTAAACATATCGATTTAATTTTAATTCACTGAAAAATATATAAGTGAATATAAACAGCTTATTAACGAAAACTAATGAAAAAACAACAACGAAAATAAACAAACAAAACCTTAGACCGGAAGCGTTGGTCTCGTGACAGGAACTTGAAAAACATATGGAAGTGGGTTGTTTTTGTTTCACAGCCAGGTGTCAAATATAGTCTTAATCTGCTGCGTAGTCGTCCAAACTCTACAGATAGCATCGTCCGAGCTCAGGTAAGTAATGTAAACTTTGTAGTTCCATTTATTATTATTACGGCTCGGTAGCTAGCGTACTAACCTTGCGGTGGTTGGTTTGGGGTGCTAACAGGGAGCTGGAGGGCAGTTAAACACCGGCACAGCATGCGGTGAATAAACAATTCACAGCTGGAATTGACTGTCTCTGATTTAATTAGCGTTTACAAATCTAGCTTATTTCTTTCTCGTTGATTAAATGCCTGTGCTTACATTTCTGGATATTTTGGCTCATGCAGTTATGAATAAATGTTTCCAATTGCAGTTTTTTCGGCTTGCTCGTCATCATGGTGGAGCACACGGCATCTGACGTGTTCTGCAATCGGATGCTGAGCATGGTCAACTCTGAGGATGTTAACGCCATCATCCAGGCTCAGAGACACATGTGAGTACCGGACTGGGCCCAGTGGTGCCATGAAATATAAACTATGTCTGCTGTTTGGGGTCGTTTCATTTGTGTCTGAGATTAAGATTTCTGTTTCTCTGGTTAACTGTTGTGAAAACAGGCTCGACCGTTTTGAGAAAACCAATGAAATGCTGATCAACTTTAATGGGCTGTCTAATGTACGCCTGCAGCAGATGAACGAGCGTTTCCTACTCCACACTCGCACTCTTGTGGAGATGAAGAAAGATCTGGACAGCATCTTTAGAAGGATCAGGTTAGTGTCTACTACTCCCACCATGCAAAAACAAAAAATACACCTTTAATCACAGGCTTTCTCTGCCTCTCCAGAACACTAAAAGGAAAGATAGCTAAGCAGTATCCAGAAGCTTTCAGCAGTGAGTTGTTTAATTTCTATTCATCACAACTTGATTTCTTTCTTCTTCTTTTTTTTCATATTTCACACTTGCATGTTTCAGATTATCAAGTAAATGGTAATATTACACAAATATAATCAGAATAAATACAAAATGCAGTTTTTAAATGATGATTTCATTTATTGGGGGGGAAAAGTCATCCGATCTCACCTGGCTCTCTGTGGATATTTAATTACCCCCTCCCCACCCCTTGAAACTTGAATCAACTGTGATTAAGTTCACTTTCATTAGCCTCACTAGTGGCCTGATTACTGCTGGAATTGTTGAATCAGTAAATTACTAAACCTGACAAAGTGAGGTAAGCTTAAAGATCTCAAAAAACGGCAGCTCATGCCACAATATAAAGAAACAGCTGAGAAACACAGTTGACTGATATTTCAGGTTACCAAACCATTTCCTGCGAACCACAAAGAGAACCAAAATCTGCAAATGGAGAAAACGATGGTGAACCTTCCCAGGAGAGGGTGGCCTACAAAAATTACTTGAGAGTAAATCAACGACTCATTCAGCAGATCAGAGAAGGCCCCAGGACAACATTTGAGATCAGTTATAGTCAGTGTTCATGAATCAACAATAAGAAAGTGACTAGAGAAAAATGGCATCTATGGGAGAGTTCCAAGGCTAAAACCACTGCTGACCCAAAAGAAAACACCAAATCATCTTCTCTCACAAAAATATTTACATCAAGAAAATAATCTGAGGATTGATGAGACTTAAGTTAAACTTAAAAGGTTGCAGTCCCTTTTTATTTGGTGTAAAACTAACAGAGCACTTGACTGTAGTTCTTGCTGCCAAGGGTAACAGTTTATACGTTTATCAGGTTTATTTATTCACACAGGACCAGGTAGGTTTAGATGAGGTTTAGATGGCAAACATGCATTTTGTACTTAGTCGGATTATCTTGGTCTAATATTAAAATTTGCTTAATGATCTTAAACATGTGTAACAAATATGCAAATAACTAAGAAATCAGGAAGAAGCTAAATATGTTTTCGCAGCACTGTAAATTGAATTTTTTAAACAATGTATTTTTCCTGACAGACATCCATGAGTCGCCCATTTCTGAGGAAGATGACGATGAATTTGACCCAGTTCCTCCAAGCATTGCCACAACTACTACCACAGCCACCTCAGAGCAGAGCACAGAGTCATGTGACACAAGTCCAGATGTGATCTCGCCCACTGTGAGCAGATGCTCGGAAGAGCTCTCTCAGGAGCCACCTGACACGCCCACCTCTGACTTCCTAGAGACAGCTGTCCTGCAGGACGAGGGTCCTGACTCAGTCCCTGCAGAATAGCGAACAGTTAATGGGGTCACTTTAAACTTTTTTTTTTCAGGAAGACTTGTTGTATAATTGCATGTGCACTTGCCACTGTAATGTTTGCGGTCATTTGTTTGTTTGATGTTTTGAGGTGGCTTTGCACTGTCAATGAGAAACATGCTTTTTTTTTTTTTTTGCCATACATAATTGTGTTGTGCTAGCATAGCACCACAATAATGCAGAAAATACTTGAACTTGTATAATACACCACTGTATATCTGTATGTGTATAACTATACAGCAAACCTGAGCAAAAGCCTGTGTGTACGAAGAAGTTCTCATCATGTCAACATAAATAACAGATACAAAATCTAGTCTCACTCTGAATATTGGTAGTTAGTTTTTGCAAATGTTTATTGCACTTGTTGCAGCATTGTTATTCAGCAGTCTCCTGTTAACCCTATATATAATTTATTTCCCATAAAACCAGGAAATATGTTTATCAGCACCTTCATGAGTGTGTCCGACTGCTAGTTACAGATATCATTTGGTTTAAAAGTGTAAAACTAAATATATTTATTTTTTTATACTGCTACATAACAATATTAATTTGAAAAGCAAAGATGCTAAAGCTAAAATAAGTAATGGTATACGGTAATGGAAGCGCTGGAGAGTTCTAGTTGTTGCAATTTTACACTTGAATAAAATTGCATTTTTCTGCTGAACAGTGTATGAGCCCTCATTAACAAAGCTCAGTTTGTATACTAAACTTCTCACATGTTAATAACAACGAATCTCTTGATGCTAATTTCACCATTGAGAATTGTAATGGTGTCTTTTTAAAATGGATCTTTGTCCATGTTAGAATATGTATGTATGTGTGTGTGTATATGTATATACATATGTATATGTATATATCCATCCATCCATCCATTCGCTTCTGCTTATCCTTTTCAGGGTCGCGGGGGGCGCTGGAGCCTATCCCAGCTGTCATAGGGCGAGAGGCGGGGTACACCCTGGACAGGTCGCCAGTCTGTCGCAGGGCCAACACACAGGGACAGACAACCATTCGCGCTCACATTCACTCGCACATTCACACCTAATGGCAATTTGGATTTTCCAATTAACCTATCCCCACAAGCTGCATGTCTTTGGACGGTGGGAGGAAGCCGGAGTACCCGGAGTGAACCCACGCAAACACGGGGAGAACATGCAAACTCCACACAGAAAGACATATATATATACATATACATATATATATATGACAATTGTTTACTTCATCTTTATCTTACAAAATGAAGATTTGTATTTTTCAAGTCAATAGAAAATAACAATTTGAATTCAAAATATAAAACAATAGTACAACAAAAGTCAATAACACTGGAGAAAGTTGGAGGCCTCCTAATCCGCAGCTGCAGGTTAAAAGGATACTTTAGGTGCAAGCTCCTACAGCACAACATGAATAATATTAAAAAGATCAGTTAGACCCTTTTAATAACTGCAGATAATCTAGACATTCACTTTCACCCATGGTGAGAAGGACTGATGCTATGTAATCCACAATTGGGGGTCTTGTAATAATCATGTAATAATCACATAATTAGCCTGGCACTAGAGTGGCACAACACCTAAACACTGTGTAGGAGCTGCTCTTTAGTAGTTATTGCTAAATAATTCTCACAAAAAAATGAAATGTCACACAGCAACCGTCTCATAACGTCTCTGAGCTCCTTCTTGTTTGCAGTGCAGATGAACACACTGACAAATTAAGTTGTGAGAGTAGTGAGCAGGTGAAAAAGATCCTGGAGAGGTGGAGGTTTGCAGTGGATGAATGAAAGTAGATACAAGCAAAAGGCAGGTGTAACAGTGAAGCTGCACGGAGCAGAAATAAATACATGGTGTCAACCATTCAAAGCAACGAACAGTGTGTAAGTGAAATAGTGAAGAGAGTCCAGACAGGGTGGAGTGACTCAGGTGATTTGTGGCAGCAGCAGAATACCAGGACTAAACAGGAAGAAATGCAGGCGGACTCCCCTCTTAACCACTAGCGGGCGCTAGGGCCAAAAGAGTGCTGTTTTTCTGTGTTGACAATGCGGGTCAAACGACAATGCAGATACTCCATAACACACTTATACCGGGGTAGCTTCTTTTGTAATTGTATATTTCTTGCTGTGTCATCGTAAACACAAGCTCTTTAGCTGTATATAATTCCTTTTTTGGGGGGCATTTAATTTAGCATTAATCCAGTTGTTCGGCTAGTTAGCTAGCTAATGCTATACGCTAGCCCGGTAGCTGTCATGACCAACGTCAGCAAACTAACTTAGACCTCAGCTGTCGTCGCTTTAAACACATCAAACCCGAAAACATCCACTTCATGTGGGAGTCACCTGGAGTTTAAGCTCCGCCGCAGGTCCCAAGATGAGGAGGCTGACGAAGAAGAAGGCTCTGACTCTGATGAAGGAGTTAGACGCTTTTCCTAAAGTTCCTGAAAGCTACGTGGAGTCCACAACCAGCGGTGGGACAGGTACAGACTGCACATTTTTTAGCTGTAGCTAATCTGAGAGGAGAGTTCAGTCTAATCCCATTTCAAACTCTCTCCAGTGTCTCTGATAGCATTCACTTTCATGGCTGTCCTCGCCTTGTTGGAGTTCTTTGTGTACAGACACACATGGATGAAGTACGAATACGAGGTGGACAGAGACTTCAGCAGGTAAAAGCTAAACAGGTTCATGCCATCACCGCCCTCAAAAACCTCTCAGCTGTGTCCTAACTGCACCTGTTCTTCACCAACAGTAAACTCAGGATAAATGTGGACATTACAGTGGCCATGAGATGCCAATGTAAGTAGATACAGGTGTATTTGTGTGTGTGTTTAGGGCAGGAAAAGGTTTTTAACTTCCGTGCTTGACTGGATGCAGATATAGGAGCAGATGTCCTCGATCTGGCAGAGACCATGGTTGCCTCTGATGGATTACAATATGAACCGGTGGGTTTGTGATTTTATCATGCAGTGAACAATGAAAATGTAATCTCTGGCATGTCCAACAGTTGTTTGTTTGTTTTTTTGTTTTTGTTTTTTTACAATTTAGGTCAACTTTGAGCTCCCACCACAGCAAAGAATATGGCACATGTAAGTGATTTATTCACATTTAGTACTTGGGTATTATGATCTATAATCTAGTAACACTAAATCACGCGAATGTTAGGCTGCATAGATCTTTAACTCACTGAAGCTTTACTAATAATTAAGACAAAGTTTGCATCCTCACATTTGTTGATGTAATTTGAAAAAAAAAAGTTAATTGTTATCCCAAGTGAGTCTTTTTTGTCCTAATATTTCTGTCCCTGCCTGTCAGGACTCTTCTGCACATCCAGGAACGTCTGAGAGTGGAGCACGCTCTGCAGGATGTCATCTTCAAGGCTGCAATAAAAGGAGCTCCTCCTGCTCAGACGAAAAGGTAAAGGACCCTCAGGATTATCTGTGTTTTGTTGGGAGGTGCATGAAAGTGCGATTACGCTGATTGCTTAAGTTTCCCCCCGCAGTGAGGACAGCACCGCTTCCCTGAGTGCCTGCAGGATCCATGGACATCTCTATGTCAACAAGGTGGCAGGAAATTTCCACATTACTGTTGGCAAGTAGGTAACACTCAAAACGATGTATTATTTAACACAGTTTTTTATTTTGAACCATAGACTGTAAACGTCCTCCCACTGTACAGAAACAATCATAGCAGGTACTGCTTCCTGCATGGCCCTAATGTGAGCGCGCATCGTCTTTGGACTCCACGTGTCAGTCACCACAGTCCGGACTGTCTAGTAAGGCTGCCAAAAAGTTGATTCTGTTCATCTGGATGCTGTTTCGTCACTTATCCAAGTCTCTTCGCCTGATGAAAATCTAAATGAACAGAATTAACTTTCTGGGAGTTCCTCACTTGGATTATTGAGCTGCATGCAAGACATGTCTAGTAGGATTGGCAAAAATCAACACAAATTATAACACAATTACAAAACAAAGACAGAAAAACAGTAGAAGTTTGTTTTGTTTTTTCAGTGAAGGGGATTTCCACCAACTTTAATTATAATTTAACTGAATGAAGTAATTGATTGTAGGCAGTGGATCTGGCCTTTTGTGGAGTGGTAATTATAAATGAATAGAATATGGAACAGTAATGATTTTTGTTATCTTGGTTTAATAATCTGAAAGCTAAAATTAAAATTTGATTATCGCACAGCTCTGCTGTTCAGTACTTCTTTATGCTGATGTGGGATGAATCCCAGTCGCTTTTGTAAAACTATTTCAACACATTTCCATCAAGAGAGACGGAAAGTTGCATTGACATCAGTGGCTATGAGGAGGGGAATCACACAGAGACTGAAATGACTTGCTTCTACCGCTATATGGAAAGGTGACATTGCTCTCTGCAAGCTTATAGTTTTGCACATTGATTATCAAATACAAATTTCCCCACAGAAGTTGGTTTTGCTCCCATCTTATTATCAAGGGCTGGAGTCGGGGCCTTGATACCCGTGCTCTAACCTCTGCTCACCTCTGTGCTGCTCTGTTTGCAAATTAGATCACTAGCATGGGATATTTTGGCTGTTTTCATGTCATTGATTTACATATAAAGTTAACGCTGACCTTTTCATCCACTTACAGGTCCATCCCGCATCCTCGAGGTCACGCCCATTTAGCCGCCCTCGTCAGCCATGACTGTAGGTTTGCAGACTTTCTGACACCAAATGGCAGCAACAGATGGAAATTAAACTGTTTTATATGTTATAAAGATTATTTATTGTTTTGTATTTGTTACAGCTTACAACTTCTCTCACCGGATTGACCACCTGTCCTTCGGAGAGCCACTTCCTGGAATGATCAGCCCTCTGGACGGCACAGAGAAAATTGCTATTGATTGTAAGTTGGTGTTTCAGATGTTGTTGAATTACTTGTTATTAAAGTGCTCTGATAAACTTTTATTTCCACTGATCGTTCTTGATGCTTCTTTCCAGCTAACCACATGTTTCAGTACTTCATCACCATTGTGCCAACCAAACTGAACACCTACAAAGTGTCTGCAGACACGCATCAGTACTCTGTCACTGAGCGGGTAGGTCTGGGCTTGTACTGTTTTGGCTGGGGAGTAGATAGTGTATCATTGTACTGAAAGCATTTGTATGCCTTTGGCTGTCCCACAGGAACGTGTGATAAACCATGCTGCAGGCAGCCACGGAGTCTCAGGGATCTTTATGAAATATGATATCAGCTCACTAATGGTCAAAGTCACTGAGCAGCACATGCCTCTGTGGCAGTTCCTCGTCAGACTCTGCGGCATCATCGGAGGCATTTTCTCCACCACAGGTAGCTAACGTGCTCATGCTGTTTGAGTGCCGTCTGCATTAAGAGTGTGCTGCAGTAACATTTTCAGATTGCTCTCCTGACTGAAAACCAACTTGGAGGTCACAGTGATTGTTTGTTCAGAACAAGGAGGCATCAAGCAGCAGCAACAGCTTTAACCCTTTACCCCTTGAAAGCCTAACAGGAGTAACCCTTGAAGCTCTTTTCTGACCTGAGTTGTTTTGGTCATATTTCAGCCTGCTTATAGAACAAAATCACTGCATGTGGATAAGAGGTTACTGCGGTGCTGTTTATGCAGCTACCCTTGGAAAAACCTGGAAGTTATTCTAATGATCGTCAAACCACGACATTATTTACGTATACTGACGTGTC